TCCAAGCATGAACTTCCTGAATCACAATCTCTGATGCTGAAACACAGAAAACTATCATTTGCAAATTGTTCTGAGCTGTTTATGATGCTACAGGTTTATTCTTGAGAACTGGAGCAAATTTCCTTAAAGGTCTCTTCTGAATTTGCAGTTAAATGTTGTGACCTCCCACAGTCCAGCACTGGTGAGTTGTTGCATCACATACAACTGTATCGTACGGTGTGGAGTGTCTGAATCCCACTGAAAACAATCAGCCAAGACAGGTGAAAGCAAGCACCAACTAGCTTGCCATCTGCGAATTCGTGGCGAATTAGACTTCCCACGTTAGCTGTGTTCTCAGTGATATCAGTGTTACAAGCCCTAATGTATTGTATTTTATACTTTGGAGAGCTGGAAGAGAGTACTAATTACATGCAAGTTTTCCAAGATTTCAGCTGGGAGTATTTCACATGCAAGTTAATTGTTCTTCTGGGGCTTTACCACTGGTTTATCCAATTAACGTGGAGTTTGCCTATATATCATGGTTTTGCTTACAGAAGGGAAACCATATTATTCACTTGAATAAAGTGGGGCTTTTTCTAAGAGTGTGCTGAAGTCCACCTGATAGCTTCTGGAACATGTAAACGACTATTCGCCTCCTGCCCTCTAAGGTGGAATGAGGTTTGCTCTGCAGGGGAGCAGCAAAAGTTGCTGATGAAATGCAATGATAAAAAAAAAAAAAGAGGCCAAGCAGATTTGCTTTTGAGGCTTTCCCTCTTACCCTTCTCTCTATCAACTTGGAAACTGTCTTCAATCAAGTGCATACGTGGTATAACAATTCTTCTGATACTACATACTCCCCAGTTGACAGACAGCTGTGCTTTCATCTCTCCTGACCTTAGAGGAGGCTGTGAAGTAGGCACAGCTGTCTCCATTTTACAGGCCTCTGGATACTCAGGATTTTCCCGTTTGTCTTTGTAGAATTGGCCTCTTCTCTTTTAGAGAACTCCAGACATTGGCATAGTGTGTGTGTGTGTATATATATATGTATATATATATATATTTTAATGGGCTCTATTAATCTCCTAGAGAGGGAGTAAATAGGGGATATGGTCGGCATGGTTTTGAGAATATGTTCATACTAATTCCATCTGTGGTTGGCTCTGGTCAGGGTTGTACATCTGCCCTCTTTTTCCCTTTGGAAGCCCTTGAGGTTCAGCAGAGTGTTGGCATAGGAAGGAGTTCAAAGTCAGAATTTATCCCCCTTAGGAAGTCCTTACGGTTTAGCATGGTGTTTGCATGGGGAAGAGTTCGAGGTCAGGATTCTTTTCTCCTTTGGAAGCCCTTGAGGTTCAGCATGGTGTTGGCATAAGGAAAAGGCAAAGGTCAGGATTCTTTTCCCTTTTGGAAACCCTTGTAATTCAGCATAATGTTGGCATGAGGAAGAGTTCAAGGTCAGAATTCTTTTCTTTGGAAGCCCTTGTGGTTCAGCACGATGGTGACATAAGGAAAAGGTCAAGGTCAGGATTCTTTATCCCTTGGAAGCTCTTGTTAAGGTTCAGCATGGTGTTGGGATGGGGAAGAGTTCAAGGTCAGGATTCTTTTCTCCTTTGGAAGCTCTTGTGGTTCCATAGAAATTGGCGTGGGGAAGAGGTCGAGGTCCTAAGTTCACAGGGTCAGGACTAGGTATCTGCTTCTATCCACTGAAGCAGAGTCTACCCTCTGAATACAGAGTCATGGATAATATTAAAGATGGCTCCCAGAAAAAAAAAGTAGGGAGACACTGAGAGATCCCTAGGAACTGTAATCTGGGAAGGGGGCCAAGCACTGAGAAATAGGGGCCACTGTGGGTATCCCATGATGGGAATATGTGATTGTTCTTGGGAGGGCCCATCGATCCTTCCTGTGGGGTTCCTTCTTGCCTGAAGCTGTTTTTATTGGGTAAGCATCTTTCAGCATCTGATACCTCAAGGGGAGGTCCGTGTGATGACTGTACGGTGGGAAGCTTCTGAAAGGAGCAGTTGGATTGCCGATGGTAACAACCCCAGGAACTTGAGGTCGTGTTTCAGTGACTCCCCCAGGAAGGGTCATTTTCATTGCCCACTGGGCACCATTCTTGATTTCATATTCAGTGTGTGCACACCCCTCGTAATGGAAAACATGAGTGACTCTGCAGTTAGGTATCAAGGGGTTGGTGGGTGTGGGTGGAGGTCCTGAATGGTGTGCGTGTAATTAAACTTCTGCTCTTCAGCCCTCTATCAGTCCATTTTGCATTGCTGTAAAGGAGTACCTAGTCTGGGCAATTCATAAAGAGGTTTGTACGGCTCACAGTTCTGCAGGCTGTGCAAGAAGCAGGGTGCTAGTCTCTGCTTCCGATGAGGACCTCAGGAAGCTTTCAATCATGGTAGAAGGAGGAGAGCCAATGTGTCGTCACATGGCAAGAGAGGGAGCAGGGGAGAAAAGAAGAGAGAGAAGAAGAGAGGTGCCAGGTCCTTTTACTTAAACAACCAGGTCTTGTGTGAACTAATAGAACAAGAACTCACTTGTTACTACAGGGAGGGTCCCAAGCCATTCGTGAGGGATCCGCCCCCATGACCCAAACACCTGCCACTTGGCCCCACTTCCAACATTAGAATCAAATTTCAATATGAGATTTGGGGGGGACAAATATTGAGACCATATCAAGCTACAAAACTATCCTGTACTCTTTTATGCTGTGTTGGGGCTGGGACCCAGCCACATCGCATTTCTTTGTCAGCTGGCTCCAAGTTAGGCTCTGCCAGCACAGGACAGTGCAGAGAGGTTGGAAATCTGCAGGAGGAAGAATGAGGGATCGTTTACTCTTCCTTGTTTCCTCTTGTGCTTGTCAATGTCATGGCTTTCTTCCTTTGCTGGTTCTCCAGTAGAAACTAGAGGAGCCCTCCTGAAAGTTGACATCAATATATGAACCCTAGGAGACAGCATCTGTGCTCATAAGGAATACAGAACCGGATATTTGAATGTCTGCAGTACTTCTTCCAATGCAGTACTGTCTGTACCATTCCTGGATCTCAGACTCTTTCAGATGGACCACGAAAACACCCAGGATGCTGAGGTCTACTGGCACTTTTCAGGGGTCCTTGGCAGTGCCAGTAACATAAATCTGATAAAGCCCTCTACCCCTGGTCCTTTTCTTGTTGGCAAGTGGCACTACCATCATTTAGTTATGAAAGGCAGTAACTTGGAGGTTCATCTTAACTCTTCTCCTTTCTGTTGTTGCATATGAAATCCATCATCAACTTCTCTTTTTCAGAGAGAGAGCGAGACGGGGTCTCACTGTGTTGCCCAGGCTGGTCTTGAACTTCTGAGCACAAGTGATCCTCTCGACTCAGCCTCCCAAAGTACTGGGATTACAGATGTGAGTCACCATGCCCGACTCATCAAGCACCTCTAACATAACGAAATAAGTATGTTCCTGCCTGTTCTCTCATAGCCATTCCTATCACTGTCATTTTGCTGTTAATTACTGGGAAGCATCCCTGACCTTCCCACATTGAGCAGTTCACGTTTTCTCTTGGGTCTCCAGAGTTTCTTATACTCAGCCTCCATCCAAGCGTTTGTTTGTTTCCAGTTTTGACTTTGCAGTTGTGCTTCTGGGTCTCATCCCTGACTCTGTCCATATGATGAAAGGGAAAACATGGCTAGCTATGCCTCTTTGTGACTTGCATTCTGCTCACGGCATATATAATCTTATTTTGCTAATTTCTCCGGGTCCTGGCTGATGATTGACACAGAGCAAGTGCTAGGTCAGTGTCTGAGAGGTTCAATGCAATGAAGGGGAAGTTGGCTTGTTCTGATGTTGAGTGGTTCAGAAGGGCAGAGGAGGGAGGGCCCTCTGTGAGCTGCTGTGGGCTGCTCTGGGTTTTAGGGGAAGAGAGGCAGGGCTCACTGCTTCTTAGATGAAGATGTATGGATGCCTCCTCTTAGATGGTTAATCTCACTCGAGTTTTGTTATGAGCCTTGATTAATGACCCACTGGTCTTGAATAGCTTTAGAGGAATGTGGTGAAGAAGCCCCTGAGAAGTCCTGTGGTGCCAGGTCTTCCTAGACACAGTAGCTCCCTAGTGATTTTGAGCCCTTGAAAGACTTCAGATTAAACAAATAACCCCATCAAAAAGTGGGCGAAGAATATGAACAGACACTTTTGAAAAGAAGACATTTAGGCAGCCAGCAAACATGAAAAAAAGCTCATCATCACTGGTCATTAGAGAAATGCAAATCATAACCACACTGAGATACCATGTCATGCCAATTAAAATGGTGATCATTGAAAAATCAGGAGACAACAGATGCTGGAGAGGATGTGGAGAAATAGGAACACTCTTACACTGTTGGTGGGAGTGTAAATTAGTTCAACCATTGTGGAAGACAGTGTGACGATTCCTCAAGGACCTAGAAATAGAAATTCCATTTGACCCAGCAATCCCATTACTGGGTATATATCCAGAGGATTATAAAACACTAAATTACAAAGACACATGCACACATAAATTTATTGTGGCACTGTTTACAATAGCAAAGACTTGGAACCAACCCAAATGCCCATCAATGATAGACTGGATAAAGAAAATGTGGCACATATACACCGTGGAGTACTATGCAGACATAAAAGGATGAGTTCATGTCCTTCGTAGGGACATGGATGAAGCTGGAAACCATCATTCTCAGCAAACTGACACAAGAACAGAAAACCAAACACTGCATGTTCTCACTCATAAGTGAGTGTTGAACAATGAGAACACACGGACACAGGGAAGGGAACATCACACACCAGGGGCCTGTTGGGTGGTGGGAGGGGTAGGGGAGGGATAGCAGGAGGTGGGGGGATTGGGGAGGGATAACAGTAGGAGAAATACCTACTGTAGATGACAGGGGGATGGATGCAGCAAACCACCATGGCATGTGCATACCTATGTAACAAACCTGCACAATCTGCACATGTACCCCAGAACTTAAAGTAAGTATAACAATATAAAAAAAGAGGCCGGGCGCGGTGGCTCAAGCCTGTAATCCCAGCACTTTGGGAGGCCGAGGCGGGTGGATCACGAAGTCAAGAGATTGAGACCATCCTGGTCAACATGGTGAAACCCCGTCTCTACTAGAGATACAAAAAATTAGCTGGGCATGGTGGCGCATGCCTGTAATCCCAGCTACTCGGGAGGCTGAGGCAGGAGAATTGCCTGAACCCAGGAGGCGGAGGTTGCGGTGAGCCGAGATGCGCCATTGCACTCCAGCCTGGGTAATGAGCGAAACTCTGTCTCAAAAAAAAAAAAAAAAATTAATAAATAAAAATTAAAAAAAGAAAGCCCTCAGATTATAGAAACATTCTCATTCTTCTTATGCCTCAGCTATATTCTTGAATTCTTCAATTCTGAGCTGCAGTTAGCATTGATGGTAAGCAAACCACCATCTTTCTTACCAAGAAGTAGGACGAGAAAAAGAAAGCCCAGCTATCATCCAATGTTCATTTTCCCTTTGAAGAATGCCTGTCTTTATTCAGCTAGGAAAGAATCCCAATGGCCAGTATTACTTCCCCTTTTAGGTACTGGAAGCTGCAGAACTTTCCTTGGCAGAGGACAACAATTTGCAGTTGCTCACTATTTTAGAAGTCACCTCTAAGAACTCGGGGACTGCCAACAAGTACCTACTGTTCCTTAGCAGGCTGAAAGTCGACTTTCACTTTGTGGCTGCCATTGGGTGGGGCAGACAAAAAGACAGACAGGAGGAGGGACAGAGAAAGAAAGCATGCTTTCTCCCCACCAGATGAAGCTTTTCTTTCCGGTTTGGCAAGGAACTGGGCGTAAAGTGGCTGAAGCTATGATGACGGAGATAACCCTGGATACCTATTTGTCATCGATTTCATTCACTTGTAACTTTGGAATCAGTCCAACCACTTACTCCAGAAAGTTGGCTGGAAAGTTTCCACTACAGATTTTTCTTGTTTTGAGATGGAATTTTGTTCTGTCACCCAGGCTGGAGTACAGTGGCGTGATCTCAGCTCACTGCAACCTCTGCCTCCTGGGTTCAAGTGATTCTTTTGCCTCGCCTCCCGAGTAGCTGGGATTACAGGTGCTCATCACCATGCCCCACTGTACACTACAGATTTAATCAGGAGATTCTGTTTTTCTCATGGCCAGTCTGATGAGGACCCAAATGCCTGACATGGATCCCCAGTTGCCCTAATAAAACCAATTCACTTTCCAGGAGACATGATGCTTTGCAAGACATGGTGGTTTCTCCACAGGAAATGACAAACTGAACTCCAAATCCTGGTGGCTCTTGTTCCAGTAATATACATCTAGTTCCTCCAGAGGATCACTCAAAGTATGTCAGGCTGATTGTATAAGGAAGCGTAAAACTTCAGAGCCAGGGGAATGTTAATCTTGTCCCTTTGCTTTATAAAAAGAGGAGACAGAGTATGTGAAAGGCTAAATGCCTTGGCTAACACCACACTGTTTTTTTTTTGTTGTTGTTGTTTGTTTTAGATGGAGTCTCACTCTGTCTCCCAGGCTAGAGTGCAATGGTGCACTCTCGGCTCACAGAAACCTCTGCCTCCCGGGTTCAAGTGATTCTCCTACCTCAGCCTCCCAAGTAGCTGGGATTACAGGCGCGCAACACCACACCTGGATAATTTTTGTATTTTTAGTAGAGACGGGGTTTCACCATGTCGGTCAAGCTGGTGTCTAACTCCTGACCTTGTGATCCGCCCACCTCGGCCTCCCAATGTGTTGGGATTATGGGTGTGAGCCACCGTACCCAGTCAATACCACACTGTTTGGTGGTGACATTTATAGCACTCTACAGTTTAACTTTTACCATCGACAGAAGATCTCACTGTCCAAGGTGAGAATGTGTGGTTAACTTTAGAAATAAAGGGAGAAAGTACTCAAAAATGATAGCTCTTTTTTTTTTCTTTTTTTGTGAGACAGGGTCTCACTCTGTCGCCCAGGCTGGACTGCCGCTTCACAGTCTCGGCTTACTGCAACCTCCACCACCCAAGATCAAGTGATCCTCTTGCCTCAGTCTCCCACGTAGTTGAGACTACAGGCCTGTGCCACCGTACCTGGCTAATATTTGCATTTTTTGTAGAGACTGGTTTTCATCATGTTACTCAGACTGGTCTCAAACTCCTGGACTCAAGTGATCCTCCTGCCTTGGCCTCTCAAAGTGCTGGGACTAAAAGCATGAGCCACTGTGCCTGGCCAAAAATGACAGTTTTTAAATTATTCTAAATAAGCAAAACATAGGGCCTAGAATGATCTCACATTTTAATAACATGTAGTTTTTTCTTATAAAAATACGTTTCCGTTGTTAGAGATTTTGGAAATACAGAAAAATGTAACGAAGAAATTAAGTGTCCCGTGGAATTTTAGCAATGAGATACAAACACTGCTAATGCCTTAATGTGTTTCCTTCCGGGCCCAATCGCTAACATTTTTTAAGGGGAAATATCATGTCACGGAAGAGCTGATGAGCCCTACAAGGCTGAGGATACAAAGAGAGTCAATTGTGAGATGGAGGCCGCGCCTGGTGGCTCAGGTTTATAATCCCGGCGTTTTGGAAGCCCGATGCAGGGGGATCACCTGAGGGTAAGGCGTCTGAGACCAGGTGGCCAACATGGTGAAACCCTGTCTCTGCCAAAAATACAAAACTTAGCTGGGCGTCGTGGGGTGCACCTGTAATCTCTTGGGAGGCTGAGGCAGGAGAATTGCTTGAACATGGGAGGCAGAGGTTGCAGCGAGCCAAGATCACGCCACTGCACTCCAGCCTGGGCAACCGAGTGAGACTCCCTCTCAAGAAAAAAAAAAAAATTGTGAGAATGAGATGGTTACTGGTGGTGAATCTATAGGGGTCTGCAGTCACCTCATTTGTTGCCTCCAAGGAAGAAAGAATTTGACCGAGGAGGCAGAAGGCAGAAGGAGACACCAAAGCAAGTCGTAGAACGGGAGTGAGAGTTTATTAAAAAGCTATAAAGCAGGAAGGAAAGGAAGGCAAATAGTACACTTGGAAGAGGGCCAGGTGGACAGCTTCAAAGGTCAACTGCCCTGTTTGACCTTTGACTTAGGGTTTTATGCATTGGCACACTGCCAGAGTCTTGGCCCTCCTCCCCTGGGGTGGGCTGTGCGCATGCGGCGTGGCCTGTTAGCGAATGGGAGTGAGCATGCGCAGTGTGTTGACGGGAGTTGTACGCATGCTCACTGGAGGCGTTCTGCCCTTTTTGCTCGAAGGTTCCTAGGCGGTCGTAAACCAGGTAAACTGTCTTTTTGCCTCTTTTTTTTTTTTTTTTTTGAGACAGAGTATTTGCTCTTGTTAAACAGGCTGGAGTGCAATGGTGCGCCCTCGGCCTACGGAAAACTCTGCCTCCCGGGTTCCGGTGATCCTTACCTCAGCCTCCCCAGTAGCAGGAATTACAGACACGCAACGCCACACCTGGCTAATTTTTGTACTTTTAGTAGAGACGGGGTTTCACCATGTCGGTCAGGCTGTTCTCGAACTCCTGACCTTAGCCGCCCACCTCGGCCTCCCAAAGTGCTGGGGTTACGGGTGTGAGCCACCGTGCCCCACTCATTTTGCCTCTTAATATGCACTCATGAGTCCACTGGCCCAACTCCTGAGATGTTTTCAGGAAGCTGTTAATCAGTGTCAGGTGTTTCTGTCTACTGGGAGGCTGCCTTTTCCTGGTGCCAGCTGCTACCAATTATTATTTTAGGGAGCCTGTTAACAGCTGCCTGACCATCACCTGATGGCTGCCTGCCATTCCTGGTGGGTTTGGGAGAGCCCTCTCCTTCCCTGACTATCTACCCACTGTAACAGAGACTGGAAATCTGGAAACCTGAACGTGCATCCAGTGCTGCTTCTGGTCTCCCATGCTGCCTAACTGTTCACGAAGACTGTCCCCAAAGAAGAGAGGCTGTATAGAATCTACCGGGTGGATCTGGAAAGGTAGTGACAACAAACAGGACCACATAACCTCTTGGAGCTCTTAGACCTGCAGAGTGATGGAGTTTTGTAAACTGTACCGCCTCTGCCTCATTTACTCAGTAAATATTTACTGAGCATCTATGCAATTCCAGGCCTTGTGCCACGCTCTGGTGCTAACAAGACAAACAAACCAGACATGACTTCTGCCCCCATCATGCTTAACATTGAAGGAAAGGAGTTATGCAGGGCTCACACGGAAGTGTGCGTGTGTGTTGCCAGATTCTTCTAGCAAGTTCCCTTCCTTTCTTTTGTGAACTATCATTTTCTTGTGCACCTGGGAGAACACAGCAGGTGCAGAATCTGTTGTGAAGGAGCCAGGTAGAGCATTTGTGTGCACACTCTGGCCTTTTCTCTCCCATCCCTGGTTATGATAAAATGGAGCAACTATAAGAAGTTTTAAGCTCAGAAGTTTCCGTGTGGTAATGATCTAGGTCAGCCTTTTTGTTGTGCAGGTAAGAAAACCAAGGCTCATAGACTAACCCTAAGCAATGTATCCAGAGAGTTTGCAGGTAAGAAAACCAAGGCTCGTAGACTAACCCTAAGCAATGTATCCAGAGAGTTTCCAGCAATGACACATGAGAATTTGATGCCTTTTGATTTTCTTACGATTCTTTTAATCAGGAGAAGCAAATAAGTTTTGTGTTTTTTTTTTTGAGACGGAGTTTCGCTCTTGTTACCCAGGCGGGAGTGCAATGGTGCAATCTCGGCTCACCGCAACCTCCGCCTCTTGGGTTCAGGCAATTCTTCTGCCTCAGCCTCCTGAGTAGCTGGGATTACAGGCACATGCCACCGTGCCCAGCTAATTTTTTGTGTTTTTTTTTTTAGTAGAGACGGGGTTTCACCGTGTTGACCAGGATGGTCTCGATCTCGTGGTCCACTCGCCTCGGCCTCCCAAAGTGCTGGGATTACAGGCTTGAGCCACCGTGCCCGGCCAGCAAATAAGTTTTGATGTGCCAATTAAAGAGGTCAGTAAGACATGTCTCTGAATAATAACGATCAGCATTTATTGAGGACTTCCTATGTGCCAGACGCTGCTCTTAATGTCCTCTATTAAATAACTCTTTTCCTCTCACAATATGAGATTAATACACTATCATCCTTACTTTGCAGATCATGTGCACGGTACACAGAGGGTTAAGTGTAACTCATCCAAACTGACACAGGTGGAATGATGAGTCAGATGCAGAGCTCAGGGACCTTGGTCTTAACCATCACATTGGGCTACCTTGCTCACTGAATGACTGGCAGGGCAGAGCAGGCTTAGAACACAACCTCTCCATCATATAGGCTCCAGTTCCACAGAAGTTGCTCACACCACATCTTTTCACAGTTCCTCTCCCTGTTCCTTCAGCTGGGAGGCTGGGGGCAGGCAGCCAAGTGGGCTAAGAATGACTCTCATCTCACCTGTTTGTATTGGAAGTTGGCCCTATAGAGGAGTTCTCCCCTCCCCTCCCCTTCCTCCCCCCTCCCCTTCCCCCTTCCCCCTTCCCCCTTCCCCCTCCCCTCCTCTCCCCTCCCCTCCCCTCCCCTCCCCTCCCCTCCCCTCCTCTCCCCTCCTCTCCCCTCCCCGAGTCTTCCTCTGTCACCCATACTGGAGTACACTTGAACTTGAGTTTTTGTATTTTTAGTAGAGATGGGGTTTTACCGTGTTGGCCAGGCTGGTCTTGAACTCCTGATTTCAAGTGATCTGCCCGCCTCGGCCTCCCAAGGTGCTGGGATTACAGGTGTGAGCCACTGTGCCTGGCTAAATTCCATCATTTTCTTCCTGGGTGAGTGAATTTCAGTTAAGTGCCTTCTGTTTTTCTGAATTTCTCTTTGTTTTCCCCAGGAGCAGTAGCTGCAAGCAGCACATCTCTGAGAACTTGGCACTTAGTGGTATCAGCAAGGCAAAGCCCTTGGGACCATTTGGCTCACACCCGCAGCTGTCACACTCTATCCTCACCTTTTAGGAAAAGGAGTTTGAAGGACATTTCAGCACCCAGCCTTGCCTGTGGACCCTGTGGACCATGACACAGGTCTGTAGGGGGAGTTCGTGGTAGAATTTATGTCTAGAAAGTATTATACTTAGTGAGCTTGGCCTTGGAGCACAAGGGTAGGTTTTCAGAGGATAATAACAGAAGGTTCGCTGGGCGCAGTGGCTCTTGCCTGTAATCCCAGCACTTTGGGAGGCTGAGGCAGGCAGATCACTTGAGGTCAGGAGTTCAAGACCAGCCTGCCCAATATGGTGAAACCCTGTCTCTACTAAAAATACAAAAACATTAGCCAGATGCAGTGGCATGTGTGCCTGTAATCCCAGCTACTCAGAAGGCTGAGGCAGGAGAATCGGTTGAACTCAGGAGGTGGAGGTTGTGGTGAGGCGAGATTGCGCCACTGTACTCCAGCCTGGGTGACAGAGCAAGACACTGTCTCAAAAAAGGAAAAAAAAAAAAAAGAGCAGAGAGTCCTTTTCGTATTCCCAGTTTCCACCATTTCTGTTTCCACTTGCCTGGGTATCAAGAACTGCATGGGGCACATCCAGTAGAGACTGGAAGTACAACTGCTGAGCGACACAGCAGTGTATTTATTTATTTTTCTAAAGAAATAGAAGCATGGAGGCAGTAGTTCTGGGCTACCTGGAAGCCTATTCCATTTTCCTTTGTCATCCTTGCTGCATGGTTCCCTTCTTAAAGGTGCCCCTGATCTCTGGCCAGCCCTCAGCCTGAGCTAGCATACACTCCTGAGAACAGGCTGGCTTCAGGATGAAATATGCTTGGATCCATTATCTGATTATGTTATTCTTCCATCCCACTTCCCCACTCCTACTTTTCTCTAGCTTTGCTTATCTTTCTCTGTAAAAGGAGACCCTTTTTAAAATTTTCTTTTTCTTTTTTTTGAGACGGAGCCTCACTCTGTCACTGAGGCTGGAGTGAAATGGTGCGATCTTGGCTCACTGCAACCTCTGCCTCCTGGGTTCAAGTGATTCTCCTATCTCAGTCTCCCGAGTAGCTGGGATTATAGGCACCCACCACCACGCCTGGCTAATTTTTGTATTTTTAGTAGAGACAGGGTTTCACCATGTTGACCAGGCTGGTTTCAAACTCCTGACCTCAGGTGATCTGCCAGCCTTGGCTTCCCAAAATGCTGGGATTACAGGCATGAGCCACCATGCCCGGCCTTAAAAATTTTTATAGGAACTTAGTAGGTGTATATGTTGAATGGGGGACATGAAGTATTTTGGTACAGACATACAATGCCTAATAATCACATCAGGGTAAAGGGGGTATCCATCACTTCAAGCATTTATCCTTCCTTTATATTACAAACAAATCAGTTATACTCTGTTATTCAAAGATGTAGAAAAAGTTTTGTTGACTGTAGTCAACAATGCTGTCAAATAGTAGGTCTTATTCATTTTATTTAAGTGTGTGTGTGTGTGTGTGTGTGTGTGTGTTGAGACAGTTCTTCTCTTGTTGTCCAGGCTGGAGTGCAATGGCGCGATCTTGGCTCACCACAGTCTCCACCTCCCTGGTTGAAGTGATTCTGCTGCCTCAGCCTCCCAAGTAGCTGGGATTACAGGGATGCGCCACCATGTCCGGCTAATTTTGTATTTTCAGTAGAGAAGGGATTTTTCCATGTTGGTCAGGCTGGTCTGGAACTCCCAACCTCAGGTGATCTGCCTGCCTCAGCCTCCCAAATGGCCGGGATTACAGGAGGTCACGTTGTGAGCCACCGTGCCTGGCCTATTTAACTATATCTTTATACTCATTAACTCCTTCAACACGCCCCCCAACTAGCTTTCTCAGTCTCTGCTAACTATCCTTCTACTCTCTTTCCATAAGTTCAGTTGTTTTAATTTTTAGCTCTCACAAATAAGAACATGCAAAGTTTGTCTTTCAGTGCCTGGTTTATTTCACTCAACATAATGACCTCCAGTTCATCTGTGTTGTTCCGAATACCAGGATCTCACTCTTTTTTATGGCTGAATAGTATTCCGTTATGTATAGGTACCACATTTTCTTTATCCATTCGTTTGTTGATGGGCATTTAGGTTGCTTCCCCATCTTGGCTATTGGCAGTAATAACTGCGATAAACAAAAAAGTGTAGCTGTCTCTTCCATACACTGATTCCCTTTCTTTCGGGTATGTATCTGGCAGTGGAACTGCTGGATCCTGTGGGAGATCAGTTTGAACCTCCAAACTGTCCTCCGCAGTGATTGTACTAATTTACATTCCCATGAGAAGCGGGTGTTTCTTTTTCTCCACATCCTGGCCAGCATTTGTAGTTGCCTGTAGCCTAACTCTGGAGCTATGTGGATTTTAGGGTGAGAGTGCTCTTGCTGTTGCAGCAGTCTCCCTAAACCTATTGTCATTGTCCTCCTTTTCCTAGTGGAATAGTCTCTTGCCCCCATTGCAGGCCTCCTGCCCGACACACACTGCACAATAATTCTTTTGAACAGAAGTCTTTTCTTGCTAAGTCCAGATTTGGTTTTTCCTTGACAGACCCTGAGTCCTGGGGGCACTGGGCAGGCACCCGAGGACCTGAGTAAACAAGAAGGCCGGATGCACATTTTCTCCTGGACACTGTGGCCAGGTAAAGCTGAGTCAATGCTCTCCCATGCTGGTGATGCTCTCTTGTGAATCTTCTCTCTCTTAAGGACCCCAGGAATTGTGAAGGCAGGTTGGCGTAGGGACCCTGAATAGCATCTATAGTTATAAATAGCAATAACCACAGAGCCAAAAGTGCCACAGAGCTGCTGTTGCCTGGGTTAAAAGGGTTTCTTCTCAAAATGCTGGGGAAACCCTGGGTTAAGCAAAATCAAACAGGCTTCTTTCCTGCAGGAATTTTTAGAGATGCTTTATGAAACCCTCAAGAATAGCATAGAGGACACATGGCTTTCCCCAACTGTTTGACCATGGAGCACATATATTTGTCAAACCTCTGGAAATACCACGTGGAACAGTTTGGGAAATGCAGTTCTAAAGCTTTTTTATATCTCCTTCTGCAATTGCCTAATGTACTTAGTGTGGATGACAAGGTCTGCCTTGGGAGCAGGGGAGGTGGAGGCTTTGGGGCTGGCGGTCAAGGCGGCAGGGTGGCTTCAGACACATTGAGTGTCAGGCGTTTTCTCTCCTTAAGTGGGAGGTGTGCTAAGTAGCCTCTCCCCTTGAGGAAACAGTAAATGGGTCAGATTTCCCAACGGGAGGATGCTATGTTTAAGACACATTTGATTTACAGCTGCTCTGGCTGTGACCTTGGCTTTCCAGTTTGCAAGTCATGTCACCAGGGTATCTGACTAATGCGCAGTTGTGAATTTTTCATGGCAAGGCATGTATTTGTGCTATCGGCCTCCTGGGCAAGGGAAAAAGCGTGCCATGTCAAGAGCAACATAAATTGTTAGGTAAATCTTTATTCCCTCCAGACCGCCCTGTGAAGTCCCGTTATTCGTGTCCCTCTCAACCGTTCATTCATTTGCAAACATTTATTGAGCAACTTCCATTTCTAAGTACTGTGGGGATACAAGGACGTATAAACCAACGTGGTTACACTGGTGTTCTGGCAGCAGGTGTGAACGTGAGAGGAGGGGAAGAAAAGCTTTGAGAGGGCATCCCTCCTTGGAGTGAGTATTGAGGCATCTGGGACCTGAATTGAACATGTGGTTCTTGCAAACACAAGTCATTTAAGTCCCGTAACACTCACTTCTAGGGGCATCCTGAGGGATCAATGGGCAGGTGTCCTGTTGGGGTCAAATCTCAGTGATGTGACCTTCAGTAAGTCTCCTAAAGCTTTAGGACTAAACCCCTGATCTCTAAAAGGAGGAGGTTGAAATACATGATTCTTAAAGTTTCTTTGGCTTCAAAATACGTATGCTGGAAACAATCATTCTCAGCAAAGTGACACAAGAACAGAAAACAAAACACCGCATGTTCTCACTCATAAGTGGGTGTGGAATAATGAGAACACATGGACACAGAGCGGGGACCATTACACACCAGGGCCTATAGGGGATGGGGGACTGGCGGAGTGATAGCAGGGGTTGGGGGGATAGGGGAGGGATAGCATTAGGAAAAATACCTAATGTAGATGACGGGGTGGTGGATGCAGCAAACCACCATGGCACATGTATACCTATGTAACAAACCTGCATGTTCTGTACATGTACCCCAGAACTTAAAGTATAATAAATAATATAATTTAGAGACAGACTTATATAGTTGGCTCTTTTTTTTTTTTTCCTTTGACACAGAGTCTTGCTCCATCACCCAGGCTGGAGTTCAGTGGCATGATCTCGGCTCACTGCAACTTCTGTCTCCCGAGTTCAAGCCATTTTCACGCCTCAGCCTCTAGAGGAGCTGGGACTACAGGTGCGTGCCACCACCCCTGGCTAATTTTTTGCATTTTTAATAGAGACGAGGTTTTGCCATGTGGCCAGGCTGGTCTGAAACACCTGACCTCGAATGATCTGCCCGCCTCGGCCTCCCAAATTGCTGGGATTGTAGGCATGAGCCACCACACCTAGCCTATAGTTGACTCCCATTGTTGTTAAACAATGCAGGAAGGAATTGGCATGGGAGCCCCACGAAGTCAAAAACATTTGAACCCTCTCACCCCCACCCAACACTTTGCTAATAGCCTACTGATAGGATTTGGGTCTGTGTCCTTGCCCAAAGGTAATCCCGTGTTGGAGGTGGGGCCTGGTGGGAGGTGACTGGCTCATGAGGGCATATTTCCTCTTTGGTACCATTCTCCTGATAGTGAGTGACTTGTCCTGAGATCTGGTTGGTTAAAAGTGTGGCACCCCTGCCTTCTCTCTCTTCTTCCTGCTCTGGACATCTAGGAAACGCCTGCTTCCTCTTCACCTTCCAGCATGATTGTAAGTTTCCTGAAGCTCTCCAAAGTCATGCTTCTTGTACAGCCTGCAGAACTATGAGCCAATTAAACCTTTTTTCTTTATGAATTACCCAGTCTCAGGTAGTTCTTTATAGCAGTGCCAAAACAGACAAATACACACACTGTTGACTGTAAGCCTTACCAATAACGTCAGTGTAAAGGTAAATACACTAGGCTAGGCACGGTAGCTCATGCCTTTAATCCCAGCACTTCAGGAGGCCAAGATAGGTGGATTATCTGAGATCAGGAGTTCGAGACCAGCCTGGCCAACATGGTAAAACCCTGTCTCTACAAAAATACAAAAAATTAGCCGGGTATGGTGGCATGTGCCTGTAATCCCAGCTACTCGGGAGGCTGAGGGAGGAGAATCAGTTGAACCCAGGAGGCAGAGGTTGCAGTGAGCCAAGATCACATCACTGCACTCCAGCCTGAGTGACAAAGAGAGACTCCAACTCAAAAAAGATAATTATACTAGATCTGCAAATATTTTCTGCCTTCACAGCATACCTATTTTTTATTTTTAATTTGATATTTTTAGGCTATGCGTTTGTCTGCAGGTTTTCACAAATTGTTGCAAATTTCCAAAAAATTAACTAGGATATTTATTTGAAACAATCTGTGTGTAAGTGGGCCTGCATAGTTCAAATCTATGTTATTGAAGAGTTGATTGTACATATGCATGTACGTGTACATACACATGCATGTGTGTATGTATATATGAGTGTACATATTTACACATCAACCTACAAGAGGGCAAGATTGCTTCTAGTCAGAGTGTGAAGGTAAGGCTTGGAGCTGTTGAAAAACAGGCCTTTGCATGAGCTTCAGAAGAGGCCTGAATGTGTCTACAGACATACACAACACCTGAACTTGCCTATTATTGTCTGATCTCAGAAGCTAAGCAAGATCAGTCTGGTTGGTACCTGGAAGGGAAAGAGGCCTGAGTGTTGGATTTATAGGGTGGGAATGCTAGGATGGTACTACTCAGGGCAAACTGCAGAGTCAAAGGCCCTGGGGCAGTGAGGAAAGGGGTGCGGGGACTGCCAGCATATCTAGTGGCTAGAGCTGAGCATGGTGTTGGGGTACAGTGGAGGAAGGCCCCTGGAGTGGGTGGAGTGGGGGGCTGGATCATAGAGGGCCTCGACATCACAGAAGCAGAGGAAATTCCTGTGCTGCTCATGGGCTCTGGCCTCCCCTCTCTCTGCCTCCTGAAGCTGACTCTGCAGGAATCACTTTTCTCTTTCTCCTTGCATGTGTGTCTGGCAGTCTGCAAGTTTTCCTCCTCTGGAGAGAGCAATTCAGAGCCCTCCCCATATCACCCTGCACATCCTGTATCTCATTCTCAGTTGATTCCCGCCGGAGTGCTGACTGCTGTTTACGATGATGTATTCAGCACTTGCTCCATCGTCTGTTTGTCGTCTGGGTCCTTGGGAATGGAAGCACCATGAGGCAGTGGGGGTGCCTGACGGATTTACTTTAGTATTCCCAGTGACTACACACATGCCCACTAAATGCTGTTTGGTTGGATGAATGAATGAATGGGCTGGAATGCCCTCAATAAATATTGTTTGAATGAATGAATGAATGAGGTGGGATATGGTCAGTAGGCAGTGTTTGAATGAATGAATGAATGAATTAGCTGAAATACACTCAGTAAATATTATTTGAATCAATGAATGAGCTGGGACATGCTTAATAAATACTATTTAGTATATATAAATACTATTTATTTATTAAGCATATCCCAGCTCACTCCTTCATAGATTCAAATAATATTTATTTACTGGATGAGGTGGAATATGCCCAGTAGATAGTGTTTGAATGAATGAATGAATGATCTCAAATACACTCAATATTGTTTAAAGGAATGAATGAATGATTTGGAATTCACACTATTGTAGAACCACAGAGGAAACTGTGACTGTTTCTCCAATGTGCAGAGCCTATATTATATTATTGAGTTTAATATCTTCCCCAGTGTCTGCCAAACCTCCAACATGTATGCATAAACATAGACCAAAAACTTAAAAACTACTTTTTAATGAAGTGAAGATGTGTGATTCTCCCTGCTTTGTGAGCTTTGGTGAATGGGGCCCCTTTTATTGATGACCAGGAAGCGGGGAGGTGTAACCAGGTGCAAACACCGAGCTCTCAGTCCTGTAAGAGCCATGCCCCTGACCCCCACTGAAGGACCCTCAGTATCCTTCCTGGCACCAGCCTCCTAAGGGTGCTTACACTCAGATCTTACTCCCCAAGTCTGATGCTTATTCTGAGTCCTGATAATGGGCACCATGATCTTCTAGTAAGTGGGAAGCTAAAGTTTCTTGCCTGGAGCTGCCTTTGAGTATGTGGTTCATGATCCCCTTCTCTGCTCCTCCTCCTTCCTGCAAAGGATTCACCTGGGCCCAGGAGCGCCTGGTTGCAGCCCTCAGGCATTGCTCAGAGCTGAGCTAGAGAAGCAGTTTGCTCCATGGAGCCACCTGGCAGCATCTCTGATTCAACCTGTGTGTGAAATCTCTGGAAACAAAGGCCAAGTTGAGACAGATACTGCCCCATTAACAAACACTGACAAAATGCTCCATACTATGGCGTTCATCAAATAAATGTTTGTTTACATTCTATTTATTTATTTTTGTGCACTGGCATGATCTTGGCTCACTGTAACCTCCTCTCCCCAGTTTCAAGTAATTCCCCTGCCTCAG